CTGTACTCTGGTGAAATTTCACTCCTTATCAGTTAATACGAGTGCTTCCATTACATAATGTCTGTAGGAGGGAACCAGAAAACTGTACCTCTGGCTGGGAGTATTCTACATTGATCACATGCAGATACATTTCTACATCCTTTACCATTAAAAAAAAAAAAAAAAAAAAAAAAAACTTATGTCATTTCACTCCTTATTGTCTTTGCAGTAAGAATCACTAAGATGGTCATTCACACCAAGTTCAAACACAAAGAGCACTGATCTGAGAAAGAAGTAGAGAAATGGCTTAGAAAGAAAAATTATTCCTTCATACCTCATGGGTTTCATACAAGACCTAGCATGGCCTCCATATGTTGGGCACCATCTCTTCCTCCTCACGTAGAGTACTCTGAAGCACCTCATCACTCCAGCATACAGGCCCAGGAGGACGAGGTTGAGAGAGAAGCCCCCTCCCCTCCACTTTCTCCTTCAGCCCGCCCTGTCCTCATGTTCAGCACCGGGATCTATGTTTTCCTGCAACAACAACAAAACTTAAAAGTTAGATGCTTCTAGACTTAGATACAGAACTACCACCTTAGATCAGGCATGGTGGCTCACGCCTGTAATACCAGCACTTTGGGAGGCCAAGGCAGGTGGATCACTTGAGGTCAGGAGTTCGAGACCAGCCTGGCCAACATAATGAAACCCCATCTCTACTAACAATACACACACACGCACGCACGCAAAAAATAAAAAATAAAAAAATTAGCCAGGTAATCCCAGCTACTAGGGAGGCTGAGGCAGAAGAATTGCTTGAACCCAGGAGGCGGAGTTTTCAGTGAGCCAAGATTGCGCCACTGGACTCCAGCTTGGGCGACAGAGTGAGACTCCATCTCAAAAAAACAACCACCACCACCAAAAACACAAAAACAAAAACAAAAAACAAAAAGAACTACCACCTTAAAAGGTGCACTGAATTCACATTCAATAATGTAAATACACAGGCATTCAATAACTGTTGGTTGAAAAAATAATGAATGTATAAATGAATGGATGCACATTTCGATAGCAGCACAAGGCAGTATGTGATTTTTATGGCTGCATTGCTCTTCCTGCTTTTCTTACTGCCTGCCTCTGGCTCTGTCCACCCCTTTTAGCTGCTGGCTTCTGAACACCAGCCTCACCCTCCGGTCTATAGTAAACAAGGGTCTCTGGAACTGGTGGACCCAGGTTTCCTGCCAGCACACAAAAGACTCCTACCTGCATTCCTCCTGCTAAACACCTCTCCCCTCCTTATCCCTGTCCCCCAGCACCCAGGAACCATACTATTAGGCAAGTGGTTGGGGTGACAGTGAGACCCTGTCCTCATGGTAAAGGTAAAGATGGTGTCCTTTCAAGTACCAGGCCCTGTCAGTCTCAATCAGCAAGTTCACACAAAACCTAGGTTCCTGTTGGTCTGCCTTCCTCATCCCGAACATGACTGAGGGTCGGGGAAGTACACTTCCTCTTCTCTTTGATTTAAAAAAAAAAAAAAAAATGCATATATATATAACAGAAACATCCACAAAAGCAAACCTTTCTGTTTAATGTGGCTCTCTTTAACATTTCCAGACACAGAGCGCTTGTCCTGAAACACAGGCTACCAGAACCTTTTGCCCCCTCTGCTCTCTTTCTAACCTCTATCTGCCCCTTAGCAAGGCCTAGAGGGTTCAAAGGAAATGAATCTAGATGAAAGGCGATTTCTCTAGTAGTTCAGAATGGGTGGAAGAACTAAAGGGATTAGGGTGGGTGCCCCAAGCAGGGAAAGCTGGACAAAAGGCCACAGGCAGAAGGAAACTGGGCTTAGGAGTGAAGTGGGTCTGGCTGAGAGCCTGGGGGAAAGGGGACTCACTCTGGCAGTGGTGGTGGAGGGAGAAATGCTTTTCCTAGGGTTCCTATGGGGGAGCTCAAGGGAGTTGGAGTGTCAGACATGATACTTAGAGAAGGTTCCACAAAGAAACACCAACAGGGCAACTTTGGGGGTTTTCTCATGCTTCCGTGTGACCTTGTTTATGTGGAAGATTAATACCGTGCTCTTTTTTTCACTGGTATTTAGTAAAAATCCTACTGCTTTCTTGGTTTCTGTTTACTGGAAAACTTGGGCTATACAGGCTTACATTTGCTATCAACTTGGAAGTTTTAGAGGGTATCAATTTACTTTGCTGTACAATATAGAGGTGGGTGGATATTTCTAACGTTTTCAGTTTGTTATCTCTATTAAAACTGTGTCCTTAGAAATGTAACTTGAGAGGCTAGGTGCAGTGGCTCACGCCTGTAATTCCAGCACTTTGTAAGGTCAAGGTGGGTGGATCACTTGAGGTCAGGCACTCAAGACCAGCCTGGCCAACATGGCGAAAATCTGTCTCTACTAAAAATACAAAAGTTAGCCAGGTGAGGTGGCATGTGCTGGTAATCCCAGCTACTCGGGAGGCTGAGGCAGGAGAATCACTTGAACCCAGGAGGCAGAGGTTGCAGAGATGGCACCAGTACACTCCAGCCTGAGTGACAGAGACTCTGTCTCAAAAAAAAAAATATATATATATATATATATATATATATATATAGAGAGAGAGAGAGAGAGAGAGAGAGAAATTGAAGAACTTGGTCTTCTCAGATTCTGAAGACTTTGAAAATTTCTGTCTTCCTAGAAACAGAACCTATGAAAATCTGTGGGTTTGTCTTACGTGGTAATTTGCCCAGGGAACAAGTTACTCATTGATGCGTCTCTTTTTCTAAATAGCACAGGTTCATGCGATACTGTTCTATCAAGTTAGAAGGGTAATATTGGCATTTTGGCTTCCTTTATACGCATGATAGTAAAATAAAAGCATGTCACTCTGCTAGGTTTCTTTCACGCTGCCCATAAACCTTCCTAAATGAAATTGTCAAGTTAATGAGAGATTATGGAATCATTAAGTTCATTATCACATATTTATTCATTTATTAATTTAATAATACTAATATATTAATTTATTTGTATTGTCACTAACACATGTTGATTCATCCATTACAGGGGATTCCACATGTATTTATTAAAGCATTCTGCTAGGTCCCAAGAAGATAAAAAGAATGAGTAGGCATTATCCCAAAGCTAAGAGAAGAGGGCACAACACTGTACCTTCCAGCACCAAGACGGTAGTTGCTGTTGTGTTGTTTTGCTTTAAAATGGCAACAACGGCAACATGTGGCTGTCAGTTTTTTCCATGTTCCCACAGCTGTCCACCACCCTTCACTCCCTCCATTTCTAACTCCACAAATTAGAGCATCCTCAGGTCCTTCAGGTTCTCTCTGTTATC